TTGACCAGTCTCCAGAGTTAACTTTAATTTTAGTTCAAATTTGTTTATAGCTAAATAAACTTTACTTGTTCCGTTGGGATGCAATCAACTGAGTGCCACTAGCCGTATGGTTTATTTGTTTATTCAAAAAACTCTAAATGCTTACGGTTAATATTATAAAAAACTTGACAATTTTTGCAACTTTTTTTGAATTTAATTTTAGTTTTAAATTTTTAGCTGCCGATGTGTTTAGAACTTTGCAATTTGTCCCTATGGGTTTTGCCAAAATTAAACCCTTCTTGAATTTTTTTGTGATTTATTATCCTTTTTTGTTGAAAACTTAGTTGAAATATAAAGTTGCAAAATAAAAAGTTTGTTGTAAAAAGAAAATAAATTTCTAATGTTTGATACATTAAAATGGTACCTAAAACTTTGTAAAACTAAAAATTTTTTTAAATGCTCACATTTTTTTAATTTTAAACTTTTCAATACATAATCTTTTAGGGTACAGATACATAACAAGCGTAGTGTGCATATGAAAGTAACTTATGATACCTTGTTAGCGGTTGCAAAGATGCTAGTATCGTTTTCTAGTGCAACATTTAATAAGTGCAATTACTCTTTTTTTCTCAGATTTGGTGTCTTTGACATCAAAAGGGCGGCCTCATGGCAAAAGCGGAGAACATGCAGAGTTGTGCAGTGGTGAAGTGAAGTGGTCAAGCATCTTCTCTGTTTTGCTGGCTGGCTGTTGCATGACTGATGGATTCCAAATGGGGCGGCAGCAGTGGGTATTCTTCACATCACCGTCAATCACTACGCCCAAGCGGTGTCACCGCTAGTTCCGGTCTTGCCTCTCGTTATGGACTTTCCAGCAACAGCCCAAACAGCTCACGGAATGGCTCCAGCAGTGGTGCAGCTGCTGGCGGCAACGCCTCAACCGGAGGCATGGGCTCACAGCTCTCCTCCAGCGTTGTCTCCTTCATGCGAAAGGTAATAACAAAAGGTGTTTGGGAAAAAGTGCACTCTGTTAAACTATGCCTGTTGTACTTTATGCGCACTCTGCAGTTTGTCAGCAAAGCATCCAACTCCAACTCAATCGACAACAGTTTTCAACAGTACAAAGAGCTTCAACAGCAGCAGCAAACCAGTGGCAGCAAAGGCGGCAGCCAGGGGCCGAGTGGAGGTAAGGGTGGCAGCAGTGCCCCCGTCACTGGCACCGCCTCCACCTCCTCCATGTTTGTACCTTGTGGCCCTGCAGCTGCAGCTGGCGCATCCTCCTCTTCCTCCACTTCGACAAACGTCCTGGCCACGGCCGCCTCCTCATCATCGGGTGCCTTACCGTCTCACCACTCGGACACTGGCTACTCGAGCATCACCAACTCTCCGGCGACGACACCGACCGTGTCCTCCATATCAGCATCGCCCATCCCTCCTGCTCAACTCATCAGCTCCTCTTCCTTTGCCTCCGACGGACAATCGGGTTCACGGCCATCTTCTGCTGCGAGCACTGCCGGCGGAAGCTCGGCAACTTCGGCCACTTCGAGGGGGCCGCTCTTTTCGAAGATACGCGCCAAGATGGTGTCCACCTTTCAGGCGACCAACGCCGGAGAATGCAGCAATGCAGCCAATTTAGCACAGCCAGTGCAGCCAACAGCGGCGGCAGCGGCGGCAGCAGCAACAGCACCTGCAGTTTTCCTCGCACAGCAGTCTTCCAATACTACTTCTTCCTCCTCTCACAGTGGCAGGTAAGTGACGTGAAGGCATGTGCCAGCAGAGAATGTGCTCCAGTGAACTCGACTGAGCAAATGAAATTCCTCATTACCCACCTAGCAACACAATACAGCGGCCAGAGTCAGCAGCCTCAATTGGCACCGGCAGTGTAGCAGACGCTCAGAGTAGTGCCTCCTCGCGACAGCAGCGAAGCTCCTCGATTACCTCCACGTCAGGCACCGTGGCGCCCATGGGTGGCTCTACCTCGCCGGTTGCCGGCACGGAAACGGGCGCCCAGCGGCCGCCAATGCTGTCGATGCTCTCGCAGTCGCACTCGTCCTCGCTCACCAACGAACAGCTGACAGCCCACTTGACGGAGGAGGAGAAGAAAATTCTTGAGAAGGTCTTCCAGAAGGAGGAGGAATTCAGAGAGATTGCACTCAAAAAGTAATAGCAGTATTTTTTTCTTTCTCTCTTCTAAAACAAATAGCTCTTGGCCCAGTTGACAAATTAAATTAATACATTTCACTGCACTTCCCTCCGCAATAGCTTCGTGAAGAACACCGCTCTGGGCGACGGAGCAACTGGTGTGGGCGCTGGTGGGCAGCCAACGGCGACCATGCTCCTCACTGGGTCGCCCGTCTCCGGCGTCTCGCACCTCTCCGCAAACATGCTCGACCCGGTGGCGGCAGCGGTTCACCGGCGCCGCTCCTCCGCCATCATCTCCTCCGACGCCTCCGGACAGTGTCGCATCTGCCGGAAGATTATCATGCGAGACGAGAGCGCTCATCGATGCTCCAACTGCCAGGAACTGGTCTGTGATGACTGTAGCTCATACTCGGCTCGAGAAGAGTCAAAGGTAGGTGGTGACTCGCTGACGCTTGATCAGTCACTCTTTCTACGATAATTCCCACTTCATTCTTTCGCTGTGTCCTGTGCACTGCTGCTTCAGTACTGGATGTGCTCATTCTGCCGTCGTCGCGGCTCTCATCTCATCATCACCACTGCTGGCACTGACCCCACCTTTACTAGCACCACGAGCACCGCCTCAGCACCGTCCACCGGCACGCCCTTTTCGACGAGCAGCCACCACCATCGTTCATCCTTCTCCGGGTTTGCAGGTGTTGCTGCCGTCGGCAGTAGCCCCAGTAGTAACATATCAATCAGTGTCCCCAGATCACCTGAGCCCTCTTTCTCTCCGCCTGCACATCGTCCTCTCAGCACCTCGAGTTCAGTCACTGCACCTGTTTCTCAGCCTCAAATGAGTCCATTGCTCAGCACCGCCTCCTCCTCCTCCTCCTCAACTCACCCTCCTATAAGCACTTCCACTTCTACCACCACTCCCCTGTTCAGCACCTCAAGCACCCTTCAGCCGGGCACTGTCGCCAAACGCAAATCATCCTTCTCCGAGTGCCAAATGCGACCTCATGGCCATGAGGCTATCACCAGTCAGCGGCAAAGTTCCCTTGATCTCCAGAAGTCTGCCATACTGCTTCAGCAGCACCAGCGCAAATCGGCACAGTTTAGCCAGTCTCCGTTGTTGTTTGAGCAGCAGCAGCCGCAACAGCAGCAGCAAGCGATCACTCAGCAACAAATTGCTCAATCGTGGGGCCAATTAGAGCAGCAGCAGCAACCGAGTAAAATACCGCGAGTGGAGCTGCCGCCCAGCCAACCTCAAATGGGTGATGCTCATCCGCTGTCTTACTTTTCCACAACTTCTGGTGCTAGTCTAAGCTCTGTGATCGGTGGCACATCAGCTCAACCTGCTCTCTCTCAAGCAGGCCCAATTTCCAGCCAATTTTCCGCTAGCTCGCAACTTAGTCAACCTCAACCTTCTAGCAACATCACTTCGCCCAGTTTGACAGCAAGTACCACCACGCCAACGACTGTGGCACTTTCACCGCAGAATGGCACTTCTCGGCCGCGCATTTACTCGCTTTCAGATGATGAAGAATTACTCTCCGATGATGATGATGATGATGATGACGACGATGATGATGATGATGATGAAGAGTTTGAAGACGACGTTGCAGAAAACGAAGAGGAAGAAGAGGAACTATTTGAAGATGATGCCGAAGAGTATGGGGAAGAGTTTGCCCGTCGATTGACGCAACAACGCAAAATACATCGGAAAAAGGTACTGAAAGAGACCGTCCTTGACGATGCAGTTCTACTGAATGAGTGCAAAAAGAGACCACCACCAGCAAATGGTAGACATAAAACTCGAAAAGGTAACTATAAATCACAGTCAATTGCTTAGGGTGACCACATTTGACAAATGATCACCGTTTCTCCAGGCGTCCTTTCACCACACAAAGACGATGCCTATATCCACATGATTGGTGGCCCGTCTCACGGCACACTGGCCTCGGTTCCTGCCGAAACGCTTAAACGGCGACGAAGTTCAAAACGAAAGAAAAAGAAATCACCGCATGCCGGCCAGTCGTACAACTCTGATGATGAGCTGATGACCAGTTCGGCTGCGAAGCAGTCAGAAGACAATGCTGCCCATCTGCCAGGTGGTGCTACTCACTTTTTAGGTAGAAGAGAATCAGGTGCTGGACTAAGGTATTCACAAAAGTGATTTTAATTCGCTATTGTACAACACTCACTGTTTTGCATTATTTCAGCGTCCCAATGGGACAAAATTTGTCCACTTTTGCCGATGTGGTGAACACTGTCACAGGCAATTCGCTTTTACACCGAGCTTCAATCTCCGAGTTTCCCCTTTCACATGGTAGTGTCTCAGGTCCAGGTATACAAAGGCCGCTGAGTAGTGCACTTTATGGACCAGGCAAACCGCTAACGGCCCTGCAAATGGCCTACAAGCCAAATCAGGCGATTGCGTCCAAGTGGTGGCGTTTGAGTAAAAAAGTGGGCAGTATGAATCGAAGTGGAGGGCTCATCAACGTTCATGATAATTCCATTTTTGGCTATGGAAGTGGCCTCAGGCAGAGAAAGAGCTCCGAAAGCTCTGATGTCAGTGATGTGAGGCAAGTAATTGTTTGTATTCTGTATTTGCACACTGCATCACCGATCTCATTGTTCATAAAACAACAATCAACTCATTTGTGAATTCATTAAAACAGGTACAGTCCGACGCAGGACTCACTGACACCTTCTTCTGAGTATTCCCGATCACCGCGCGAGTCTGCAGATTCGGAAATGCTCGGCCTAACGTACTCCTCACTGGCAATGCAGCGCCGATCGATTCCCTCTGTTCTGGTGGACGTTGGTGCCGACTCCAGTGGCCTAGCGACAGGGCACTTTCTAACGCTGAAAGACTGCTACAACCGACGGGGCTCTGCCGGGCGAGCACTGCCACAAATTCCGGTGGAGCCATCGCGTTCAATGCTTGACTTGCCCCATTCACGAAAGAGCTCAGCCCACTCGCTGGACATTCCGATGGAGCAGCCGAGAAGAGCCTCAGCGCCTGAAGGCGAGAACATTCGCATTGTCATTGACGAGGTTCAAGATGTGACGGGCAGCCACCAGGAGCTGCTCATTTCAGGGGCTGGTGGGGTAGTGCAGGATGGCAACTACTCTCGCTCTGCTTCGGCGGGCAGTGGCCGCCGCAGTTCGGGCGCCATTATGCCTCAAACGACGGTTGTAACGCACTTACGCTCACTCACTCACTCACTCACTCGCTCGCTCACCCTTGCTAATGTAATGAGTGCCACTTATCTGCTTTTCACGTGCACTTGCTCTTCTTTAGGTGCAGGTTGCGCCTCAAGGGCAAACCTCGTACCAGCAGCGAATGCGCTACCAGCTGACTCGAGCGGCGTCTATCGTGACGCACTACGAACGGATCATCTTGCACCGAGACGAACAGGATCACTCCAATCGCACGCGTGGCTTTGGCCTGGCAGTGGTCGGCGGAAGGCTGAACGACCAGGACGGCATGCTCTACGCGTACGTCAGCTGGACCAAGCCTGGTGGGCCGGCGGACAAACAGGGCCTGAAACCGGGCGACAAGATACTGGAGTGGTGCAGCAAGTCACTGGTCAATTGCAGCTACGAACAGGTCTGCCATATCATGGACAGCTGCGGGGAAAGCGCCGAGCTTATTGTTGAGTCCATGGTCAAGTGGTAAGTGCATTCGAATGTTAGCCCCTTTTATAGACAGCTTTCGTTTAATTGTCCTCCTGTTGGCAGTGATCCGAACCAACATAAACGAAGACAAAGTCTAGCTGCCGCCCAGCAGCAGAGCAGCTCTTCTGAGCAGGCAAATCAGTCCTCCGCCGCGTCCAGTCAGACGACATCCCAACAGCCGAAGATAGCCATCAATGCGCCTGCCTCTTCAACAACGAACACCTCAGCAGTTGACTGCACCGTCGCCAGGCCCAGTTCAGCTGCTGCAGCTCTCCTTCCCTCCACTTCCATTCCGCCGCCCATACCTGCCCCAGCGGCGACCAGCCAGGTGCCGCAGTCAGCCGCCAGTGATCGAGGCTCCTCCAGTGGCACACCTAGACGTCGATTGCCTGCCATTCCCACCACTCCCAAGTCGACCACCACCAGCACCGTAGCCTTCCTCAAGGATGCCCAGATTCTGCTGCAAGTCACCCTGGACGCCAACATTCGTCAGCTGTCTGTGGTCATAGTTTCCTCGCGTGGCCTTGAGCAGCACCCACTCTACCAGAAGGCGATGACAGCGGCAAATGTGCCGGCTAATGAAGCGTATGCACAGCTTCGACTGCTTCCAGAAATGTAAGTGGCACACTCAGTGGCTCCGTCAGCTTAGCCTCCAAAGCTCGATAATCAATTTTCTGAATTTTTTCAGGGGATTCAAAGTTTGTCAGACTGAATTAAATGCCAATTTCGAATGGAATGAAACGTTAATCTACCACCAGTTTCCGCTTGAAAGGGTAAGACTTACCGTACTCAAATAAAGTTTCGTCTCGTTCACACGGCTCAATTGATAGGTCGACGAGATAACGCTGGACGTTTCAGTGTGGAGCACCACTGCCAACTCCGTGAGCCCCTACTACCAGCACACACCTGCCCAGTTGGCGCCACCTGCCAGCCAGATTCGCTTACGCAGTCCTCGCAACTCCGCCGTCGGCCTTCCACCGCAAATCTCCGTCTCCTCGGAGCACTCGGGTACCTTTCAACTGGCATCCACTCGGATTCCACTGCGAAGTGCCCTCTTTGTTCTTTCCGAGTGGTGGCCATTAATTCCCACCGAGGTCAACTACGTTCAAGCGCCGCTGGACCTGAGCACCGGAAAGAGCGCCAGCAGCAGCATGGCAGTGCCTTCACCGGCGCCGAATCTGTCCAGCACTGCCCCTCCAGTTTTCTTCCACAAAGTACCCTCAATGGATTACATTGGTGTGTTTGTTTAGCCTACTCTTTGGAGTGTTTGTGTGCACTA